ATTAATGAAAAAATTATATCTACACCTTTTAGGGTCGTAGCAAATCGGACCTGAAGATAAAGTGATTTTTCGAATTCAGCTATATTTTGGACACTATTGATGCTAGAGACCTATAATTCAGGCTCGGACTTCCCAAGATGAAAAATTTTTGATGGATATATGTGCGTCCACAGGGGGCGTGGCAAACCGCAAAAGTTTATATCTTTTAAAGTATAGAGCTAACTATCAAATTTGGATAGTTAAGTTACTAGTAACTTCCTTTATAGATTCCCCAAATGAAATTGTAACGCCTGTTTAGGGACGTGGCATATCAAAAAATGTAATTCTGTAATATTGTAGCATCAAAATTTTGATACTAGTTTACCGTTAGCTGTTTCTATATGCAGGCAAAAAATTAAGTGTCTATGCCTGGTAGGGGCGTGGCAAATCTAGAAAAATTGAACTTTCTACAGTATTAGAGCTAAACTTAGCTACTTAATTGCATATGGGGTATGATTAAGTATTCCGCAGTCGGTAACGCCCCGACTGCAACGTTCTTACTTGTTTTGCAAGTAAGCGCATTGCGCTCTTTTTTTCTTTTTCTTTCCTTTCTTTTTTTCTTTTTAATAAAATATAAAGCAATACTTCTTTATATACTAAGATGACTTTAGTTTTCAATCAAAAATGAAACAAATTTGCTGTTTTAATTTTGAATATTGTAAAATAATTTTGTTCAGTAGATTTATGATGGGGTGTTTAAACATGTTCATGAATTTCTGCCTAATGCATTACATATATGATGGGGTGTTTAAATATGTTAATGTCACTCCATTTATTTTGATCTATTTGCTATTCTCTCTCTCTTTTTCTCTCTATATTCCTACGTCTTTCGTTTTTTATTTCAAAATATTTTCCTTTCTTTCAATAACTCTGTTTTGGTCTGTTTCTCATTGAATCATTTTAAGAAGTTAAGGTTTAGTTTTTCATTCTGTTTGGACTTCGATTCGAGAAATATTTGAAGTACTAAAACAACATATATTTTTATAGAACATTAAATCTTCGGCAGGGCCGAAGTAGAAAAAAAATTGTAGTTCACTATTTCAATGATAAATAATCATACAACACTCAAACATTTGTATAAATTACGCACACATGCACACACACATTGCCACGCATTCCCTTATATACATTTAAAATTTTTTTTATTTTGAACATCTGTCGACTATTTTTGTTTGATGGTATATATAAACCACAACCACAAAAAATATTCAAAAATAATTTAGCTTTCGAAATTTAGTTATTACAAAAGTAATTATTAGATATTTGTTGTTAATTTTTTGTAATTTTTAAGCCGGCGGAACCAATACGAGAGACTGAAGTGTAAATTTTCAATAAATAAGCATAAACAACTTACGTATATTGAAATGATGTAATACTCTTACACATACACATACACAGACACATACTCCATCACAAAATGCATAACAGAGGTACATACATGAATTAGGTTATCCAAAAATTGCTTAATAACTAAAAGAATTACGTGTAATCAAAAAGACAAGAAAGGAGCGACACAAATTCAAATTTAAAAATAAAAATAAAAACAATTGAATACTTAGGCCAGTACAACCGTATGTATGTATTTACATGATTTCTATTCTAAGCGAAGATTTCCCAAAAAATAAACAGATGAGCATATGCTAAATATATTTGTAGTTAGAGCCAAAGTCTTACCTACTTACATTTATTTGTATGTATGTAATAATGCAAGTCAGAGACAATACAAAAATGAAATCAGAATAATTATCCACCACTATGTAATCAATACAATTGAGTATCTCAATTCTATGAATTTAGTTAATTATGGAGTATTCGAAATATTTGGTTTGGCCAAAAACTAATCAAAACAAATAAATCGATTATTGTAAAAGGGATATTATATTTGTGTACATACGCAGAAGCATATTAAGTGTTTGGCCGAATACACAATAATATATATCAAATATTATAAAGATCAACATTGTTATCGATATCTCTGCCACAATAATAACAATAATATACTGGCATACAAAGCGACAGGAGCAGCATCAACTATCGAGAGCAGGCTAATATAATAATTACATCTATTAAAACCAACTCGTAAAACAACAGCAACAGTATCAACAGATCAAGGTCTTCTTTCTACTACTACCCACCTATGCCTATGAAAATTTTCAAAATCTACCAGAACATCAACAAGAACTACTACTACTATTCTACTACTATCTACAACACTTCTAACGAGCATTGAAACGTATGTAACTTGACATTTTGAATTCAGCCTTATACAACAACTTTAAACCCCACCTTTCAAGGTAGTTAACAGTTAATAAGCACGTAAAACAGTAAATACAATGCGTATGTATCATCTAAATATTACCATCAGCTACGCAAGTCAAGAAACTATTAAATTTTGTATTATTATTATTATAATTTGTTTTGCCCAAGTTTAGCAGTCCAAAATGCATTTTTAAACAACAGATTTTAAGTGGCATGAACACAGTACCTACCTATACATATGCACAACGGTTTCCAAAACATGCATACATATAATAAGTGTCTTTGTATGTATGTAGTATATAGATCTGAAAGTTTATGTATTCCTTTGTGAGCATTTTTCTATAGTATATATACATATCTAATAGTTTTTTATCGGAGTATCAACGATATAGAAGCAATAGGAATAGTAACAGGTCAAAGAAATATATATGTATATATAAAAAAAGAAAAGAAAAAAAATAATAACAGTACATAAGTAACAATTTAAATATTTAAAGAAATTTGATTTAGTTTTTAACGATGAATGATTTCAGATTTTAAATACGGCCTTACCAGATCAATCGATCAATTGGTCAAGACGTTAAGATTTGAAATATCCTTCTCAGTAGATAATTATCACTTCGGAGTCGATAATGCCACAAATGTGCAGCTACCCTGTATGCTTAAGACCCAACCCCAAATACATATATATTTACGGGTACAGTATAAGCGGCTGCCATTGCCATGAATGTCAGTCGACACTTTCAGGACAATGTAATGAGTATATCCGCGCGTCTTTCTATGTTTCTTTTTGGTTAACAGTTATTATGGTGTTATTTATTTATTCTTACCTAAAACCAAACACAAAACCTACTCAGTGTTGGTAAGAAAATAGTTTCCGTTATGTGTTTCCTTGCTTGTTTTGTTACAATATTCGTTTATACATACATATTCTGCTATATTGTGGAAACATACATATATGTAAACTTATGATGAAAATAATAGGTACACTCCTTAAAATTACATTTTTTTTTAGTTTAGTTTAGCAAAACATTTTTTCTACTGCCCTAAACATTAAGTTAAGTTTAAATGCACGTTTCTGTATTAGGTATACATATGTAAATACATATATTAATGAAAATAAGTAAATTTGGAGAAAACAAATTTATTTTTTCAAAAGTTACAAACAAAAAACCAAAATGAAGCTTTTTGTGTTTGACTAAAATAATAGGTACGCCTTACTTTGGTAAGTTGTATTTAATGTTTTGATTTTCAAACCATTCAAAATCTTTCGCTATTCTATTTTTGGATTAATATCCTGTATATTCTTTTTCTTGGACGCAGTCATTTAACTTTGTTATCACACTTTTTCTTTACCACCTGCTTTTCCAATTCACTCTACAAGTTTTCGATTCGATTCAGATCAGGAAAATATCCCTGTAGTAAGGTTTTTAGCAATTCTACGTTCCTCAATTGAACAATGAATATTCCGACCCATTTACATATGATTTTGATATTTTTTGTTCACTGTTAACATCTCTGTGAAGAATACTTAATATCTTATAACAATAAAAGAAACGTTTCTTTGCTTAAAATATTGTTCATACTGAATAAATCGAGTATGTATGTATTATTTTCAGCAAGCTCTTTTTAATGAATTGTGACTACTATGAATTTAGGGGGATATACAACAATTTTTTGGCATGCTTCATATTGCCTTGCCTTGTTTTGTTTTTTTTTTTTTTTTCAAAAATACTAAAAAATTAGTAGTTATGACAGAATCTCCACAATAATTTTGGTGTACCTATTATTTTCATCATGAGTGTATATACATAGATATGTGTCAAATATTCAAATCAACTGATTTTACCACATATGTATATAGACACCGTTCTTGCCTGCCGTTGGTATAAATTTAAATTAATATTGATTCAAGGCTATTACAGTTTTAATTATTTTGCATTCATACTGTTTATTAAACGCTTTTGCACGCGCAATATCCTCAAAAAAGTTGTACTTTTAGAATTATATCTACTTAGTCATATCATATATATGTATATATCTAAAGCAACTTAATGCGCACTTTTTGCGTTCCTGTGTGTCTATTCTACAATGCCAATTGCTTTCACTGCTTTGCTTTCTTACTGATAATACTTCCGAGTTTTATGACTATTATTGAATCCCTACCAAAACATGGTTCTAATAATAATAACAATAACAGCGGAAGTAAAACACTTAACGCAACTCACCGTCGATTGTGTCCGTACCCCGATTTACTTTTCGTCCGTTATGAGTTATTCAAATAAATGGAGTAGTCGGCTATAGATAGGCTGCATGCTACAATACAGTTCACAGCAACCAACCCTACCTTTTCCCGGCTGAAAGCTGCTTTTGAGCTATATATCTATATATTTCTCTTATTGTTAATGTTTCATTTAGTTTTTTTCCTGTTTTTTTTTTTTTATTTTATTTTATTTATTTATTTATTTATTTTTTTTTTGACGTAAATACTAACAAAGGCTCACATGTAAGCATACATGCATACATACATATATGTATACTGCATATGGGTGTCTCCACTATGTCTACATATATCGTATGTATGTACATATGCATGCATGCATGCATAGCGAATGTAAAAGTGCAAGTATGTGTAGTATGATAATATTGATCCCTTATATTAATTATGCTTATTGATTTATGTAATTATGTTATTATGCTTCCGTTTCCGTTCGTTTGTTGTCTAATTTCGTTTGGTTTCAGTTGCGTGTGATTCGTGCATTCCGCTCGACACTGGAAGATCTAAACGAACGTCGCTCAATGCACAGTTTGCATAGCTTGCGTAGCCCTCGGACAGGCATTCCCACTGGCAGTGGTGTGCACCCGCTGTACAATTTAAATCTATTGAGCCCCAATTACAGCAGCAAACATCCGCAGCAGCAGCACCACCACCAACACCACCACCACAGCCTCCATCATCAGCAGCAGCAGCAACAACCTCAGCAGCATGTAACCAATGCAACTCTGCCTTCCGATATATCTTACATTGACGAAGATCCACAGCAGCAGCAGCAGCGCATATTGCAAAATGGATCAACATCAACGTCTGACACACATCAATCGCAGTTACCATTTACTCACTCATCTGCTCGCCCAACTGGCAGTGGCTTTTCTGAAGCTGTCCAAAGCCTGCAGGCTAAAAATGGGCAGAACGAAACCCGAATTTAAGTCGCTTCGCGAACCTTTACCAAAAACGACAACAAGATATTAACCATTGACATACATATGCATACTTATAGATGCTGTACGTATGCATTCACGCATAAACGTATATATGCAAATTAGTCTTTGTGAATTGAATGTAATCCTTACTGCGGACCTGAAATATCAAAATGGAACCAACTAATTTTTGTGTGTGAAACAATACAAATTGATATTGTCCTGTTCGGAAAATGCCTCGATTGACAGCACTAATTACATCATATATTCATATTACAAGCCCTATATGCATATCAAAATGAGATTCATTCATGCATTCAAATGTACTAGATTTGCATACATATACACCTGTGCGCCTACATTCACTCATACATATATATATATATATATATATATATATATATATATATATA